TGCCATGCCATCTGGTTTTTCACTTCTCTCTGGGAGGGCAGCGCTCCTCTGCCTGCATCTTTCAGTGGTAGCTTTGGCTTGTGGCAGCCCTCGCTCAGGAATTCCCTCTGAAGGACAGCAGCAGGCATCACCTTAGAAGGTGAGGCTGAAGCCACGGGCCAGCAATTAAGAGAGTCGCAACTGCCATGCGTTCAGCCGGCTGCACAGTGCCGGCATCAGTGTGTCCCTGGGTACACAGCAAGCAACCGTGGCTGCCCTCTCCACTGTCACTCCCAAACGACCAAGTATCTTGAAAGTACCAGTACAAGCTCCTGAGGATAAAGGGACTCTACAGGATTGATTTACCACTTGGAGAATCCCACGGGCCTGCGAGAGCTGAGTGATAAGTAGCTGTCTACCTCCTGGAGGGTGGCTTCCACACATTCCTCCCGTTCCCCGCCACAGCCACAAAGCTCCCCGAGGTTACTGAATTCCTAACATAGTGCGTTTGTCATATTTGCTTAACCAGTGAAGAACCCTTGTAGTCAGGACAGAGGATGAGGACACGGGAAAGCTGCTTTACCAGTGCTGTCTCTGTACCAGTAAAACCCACACCTCTCCACGGGGATTTGGGCTGTGGAGTAGAAGCCCCCGTATGGAGTTGATATGGCTCAGAGGAGAAAGAGAACATAGCAGTCAGCCGTGTGTCTTCCCCTTGGGAGACACACCTAGTGCCTCAAGACCCTCCACCAACCAGCTCAACAGCCCAGAGCACACACTCGGCTCCCACCCACGGCCCACCCTCTCTGCAGTCTCCGAGAAACCCACCTGTGGTGGCTACATCTTCTAAGATCCTTGTTCTGCAACACATGTCTTACAGTTGAGGGTGGTTCATGTTCTTCCTGTCTGCCTTATGGTGTCAGTGTTGCCTGGGCAACAGTGATGCCAGCTGAGGGGCTCCCATTCCAATGACATCACTGGGTGAGGCACATTGGCATAGGGGAGATATTATCTCTGTGGGGAAATATCAGGGGTCCTAAACCATTGAAGAGGGCCCTAGAAGAGGGTCTTTTGAACACTTGAGAGACTATTTTAGAGGCCTCCCCACCCTGCTTTTCTGTCTGGGCACCTGTAGCAGTCCAAGCTTGAAACTGGTTTTCTTTCAGGCTAAAAGGTCACCTTCGTCCTCAGCTTTGGGAGACAAGGAAGCTCTCCCGTCTGTCTCGGTGGGAAAGTCTAGAACCTCATGGCCTTGTTTTTTCGTCCAGACCTCAGTGGACAAAGCATTAGCCTGACGGGAACTGGAAGGAAGCTTAGACTAGCCACACTGTGACCTGGGCCAGGCACTGAGCTAAGTGGTTTTTTCCCACCTCATCCCTGAGATGGCTTATGCTGATTTTAAAGACGGCACTGAGACTTGGAATAGACAAGGCACCTGCCCAGCCATCGAGAACACCCAATTACAGAGCGGTGGAGCCAGGACTCACCCCAGCCCTATCCAGGCCAAAGCACATGCAGGCCACATCGTGAAGGTGGTGCACCTGGAGATATGGCTCACTCATCACCAACCCATAGTGGCCCCAGACAGACAACAGGGAGAGAGATCAGCTGGGCAGGGCAGGTGGCTTGAGGCAGCCAAAGCAGACCCTGTCTTTGGTAGGCCTCCCTTGGCTTAAGCAGGGGTTCTAAGTGGCTCCTGTACTCACCCACTCCCCAGGGCCTTAGGGCTAATTAAGGACCTAGTTTCTTTGTTCTGTGCTTGGTGTCTATTGGCTCACCCAGGTCATCTGAATATCCCATTGATTTGCATGCAGAGGAGTGCACAGCCCCCAAACCCTGAGATTGTACAATGTTTACCATATGCAAATATATGCAACTGAGGGTTAATGCGTGCAAAGCACTAAGTAAATAAGTAAATAAAACAGGAAGGAGCTGCATTATGAAAATATAAAGGGAGAAATCCTACCAGGAGGCATCTTCTAGTGCACTGGTAGGTTTCTTGGTGGGTATATGGTGGGTGTAGCTATAAGGAGCCGAGGCCTGTGATGTGCTCCGCTCAGGTAAACAGACAATCAGTCTATTGGCATAAGACACCATGGATGGTCTATGCTTTAAAGCGCTCCTCCCAATTAATGAAGCACGAGACAGGTGGTACAGGAGCCAAGCAATGTTTGAGTTTGAGTAGAGATGGGGTGTTAGACATGGTTTCCTCCATGGTTTGGGGAAGGATACGTGCAGATAAATAGGATTTGATGGAGGCAGGAAGAGGACACAGGGGCTGAACGGCTTGGACAAGCAAGTCAGGACGTTTGATCTCTCTTATCACCTTCCACTTCTTGGGAAACCCCACCTTGCATGTGGCTGCCACTTTTTCCTTTTGCACCACACCCAGGTGGCACTTACTCATCCCTGTCACTTTAGGATGCAGACTGGATCTGCCACCAGTAATCAAAACAGTTGGTTATTTGATGCTTGGGCCAAGGCTCACATCACCCACCAGGGATGGGCTTGTCTCTTTCCTTCCTCTCTTCCCCAGCTGGATGAGTCTGCCATCTTTTTTTAATTTTTATTTTAGGTATATGGGTGTTTGGCTGGCGTGTTTGTTTGTGCACTACTTGCATGCCCGATGTTGTTGGATACCGAAAGGGGGTGTCTGTTCCCTGGAACCTGAGTTACCAGTTGGTTGTGAGTCACCATGTGGGTGCTGTGGAATTGAACCAGGGCCCTCTGGAATGGTAGCCAGTGGCTCTTAACCCCTGAGTCATGTCTCCAGTCCATGTTAAACTCTTAATAATTGGCAACTGTGAATGACTGTCCAGTTAGCATATTGTTCAAGAGAACCAGGCTGGTGGAGCAAGGACAACCAGGCTGTTCAGCTATGGGGCCCTTGTGTTAAATGGCACCGAACAGCATCATCTTGCTAGGAGTGAGGACCTTATTCTAATTCACACAGACTGGGTTGGTACTGATGGCTCTGGCGATTACCATCAGCTCTCAGCATCCTCACCATGCCATTAAGACTGGATGAGGGCATTCAAGATGGACCAACACCAGGCACAAATCACAGCTCAATTTTTGGAAAACCTAACCCTGGCTTAGTATACTTCTCTACTACAGCCTCAAGGCTGCAACAGCCTCAGACCGTTATCGGAGGTACCTCTCACCTCCAAGCATGGAAACACGGAGCCATGCACCCAGAAGGCACCGCCTCCGTCACAACCTCTGCTCACACTGATGACCAGCACATCGGCACATCGCCTGTTGAGCTCTGACGGCTGTGCTCCATCGAGCCCTATCTCTGCTCTATCCAGGGAATCTGAGGCCAGACAGAACAAGCCATTTCTTTTTATCAAATTTCAATGCTTGGAACACTTAACAGCCATAGCCACGCCCCTGAGTTTCTCATCCCTGGGTTACGTGTGGTGTAATCCTTTTCCCTCACCAGAAGTGCTTTCTCCACTGTCCACACAGTCTTAGCCTTTCTCCTCTGGACAAGTCTGGTTTGCCAGTGCTGTGGCTTTGAGAACTGGGCTAGTATATACTCCACCGGCTCAACCTTGCTCTTGCAGGCTGCAGAATGCCAGGTGCATGCCACTGTCTCCTTGGAGACAGTGCACGCTTTTATCAAACAGGATCCCTTTGTACACTAACCCCAGAGGGTTCAAAAAGGGAAAACTATAAAGCCAGGTTTCTTGCAGACGGTGAGCAATTATCTCCCAGAAGCTACTGCACCTTCCTGCCCTCTGATTAAAAAGTTCACCCACACACCCTTTATGTTTCGCTCATGGCCTGGAGAGCTAACGCCTTTTGGGGTGATGACATCGGGTTAAAAGTTCAGGTCTCTGCCCCCTTTACACCAGAGCCTGAAACTGCTGCGTCTCTGAAAATTCCCCACAGTGAGGACAGTGTGCGAGCAAACGCTGTTCCAGCTTCCCCAGGGATCCATCCAGAGTGAGGGTATAACCACCACATGGTTACCCACAAGTGGAAAATCTGCAGGCAGGTCAGCAGCGATTCACAGGGAATCAGCAAATAACAGGACCACTTATGCAAACCAGGCCGGCAGGCAGGCACCAGGAGGTGAATGACAGCGGCCACCCCTGTCATTGCTGGCCTGGACCAAGGGCCACAGCAGCTGTGTTGGCTTTAACCGGCAGCCTCCCCAAAGCAGAACAGGTTTGTAAAGAGAAGAAACCCAAAACACAACAGAGAGCCCCCCAACGTTGATTTATATGGTACTAGTATCTGGCTCCCTTCTGTTCTGGGAAGGGTGGCCATTCTCATACTAGGCAGTAGGGTAAAAGGCTAATCGAGGTTCTTCCCTGGTTTGGCCAATATTTTCCCATTTTGTACGGAGAACCGGCCAGGGGCTTCTAAGTCCATTTACCTGGCGGCCTGAACGAAGGAGGCTCAGAGTGGGCCTCGAGGATGGGGCCGGGAATCAAAGGCAGCGACTACTTAAGAGCCCAGCAGAAAGTTTTGCAGAACATAAGGTCTACTCCACTAGGAGTCCTGAAAGAGGAAGTGGCAGGAGCTTCATCCGGCCCGAAGCAACCTTCTTGCGTCAAGACAAGCTACGAAGAAACAAACGTCATCCCCATTCCTTTCTTCCAGCACTGAGGCTCGGCCACCCGACCCGGTTTAAGAGATGAAAGGTCACGACTCTAAGCACAAACACGTGGCCTCCGCTAGGGGCCCCAAAGCCGGCAGTGTGGGGAGCACAAGTTGCCAGCTTCCCAGATTGCCGGAGGCACTCGGGGGCTCCGGGGCGCCCGGGAGGAGAGACCCCAGTGCATCACCCACGAAGAGTGATGAGGGAAAACAAAGCCCACTTCGCACGCGTGCATTAAAGGTGTTCCTGGGCTCGGCCGGGCCAGGATCCCGCATTCGTCGTACCCCGCGCTCCTGGCCACGATCTCCCGCGCAACTCTGTGGGAGTCCCCAGTCCCTTGCGTGCCCTTCATTCCACACATCGAGTTTGGGGAGCAGCAAAGCCTCACATTCGAGAGCCCCGCACTTACGTTCGGCCGTGGCAGCCGTAGGGGTACCGAGGGTGCCTCGCTCCACGCTGCGTCGAGGTCCCGGGACCGCAGGCTTTGGGGATCCAGGGACGCAAGCGACCAGACCGCGGTGGCTCCCGCCTGCTGGACTCCTCTCGCCCCGCGCTACTGGGCTGCAAAACTACTCATTTCCGCGTTGTCACGGAAACTTTTTGCTCCTTATAAGAACAAAACGCCCGCCTCTACTGGCGCGGGTCGTAGGTCCTTAAGGACGACCGTGCGGGTTGCGGCCGAAGGACTCTGGGTCCGCCTCGGAGACCCTTCCCGTGATCTCCCAGATGCTCCCGGAAGGACAGTGGAATTGAACAGCGACCTGGCGCTAAGGATCCGGCCTCTGGAGAGAAATAGGAAAGGCAAGCTGGGGAACCGGGAAGGACGCCCTTAAAAGCTGGTCTCGGCCTCAGAATGGAAAGGGTTAAACTAGTGCCAGTCAACCCGTCTTTCTGTGGCGCGTTTTACAAGCGGTGGAATTCCTGGGGCTACCTATTTTGTCCCTTGAGGAAAACGTAAGTTGAGACCCAAGGCCAGCCGCTTTCCCTCCTGCAGTTTGACTGGATTCAAACAGTTCACCACTTTTTCTGGTTAAAGAACGCATTGTCTCTTCGCCAGAGGAACCAGGCACAAAGGAGGAAGATGCCCGAATGCTGTAGGGGGCGCTCTCTTTTCCATTTGTCAAGTCGAGGTAGTGTCGCTTTTAGAGCACAGAAGGACGGGTATACAACATAGTAGCCTGCATATTTTAAGCAAACAACAAGCCTTCCTTTGTGGACAGCACATTCCCACAACTTGTGGGAGTGGCTGAGAATGGCTGGATTAAACTGTTAATTCGTTTCAGGAGCGCCCAGAGAAAGCAGAGGAAATAATTGTGTCTTAGAGATGATGTCTGTACTACTGGCATGTGGTCTTAGAGCACCTTGCTTCCTCTGCTGTCCAGCCCAGGGACTTTGTTAGCGCTCTCCTAGAACGTGCAGGCTGAGCCTGCCTGAGAAACAGGCGATGAGGAAAATGTTCTAAATATAGACCCTCTGGCTCTTAGCCCGGGGCACTTTTATGTTCAGTCTTTGGCTGACTGTTGCTCAGAACCCTTTCCTGGTGTGGGGGAGCCTTACTGCAGAGTTGGGGGCCAGGGAAGGGAGAGGAGCTTTGGGAATTTCCAAAGAAAAGAGCTGTGTATTTCCAAAACATCTCCAAGTTCAACAGGTGGGGGAAGTGTCTGGGACGTGGGGCCCTGCTGCGCTGAAGGCAGTCCTTTGGTTGAGGTCAATGTTATGCTTGGAATGTCAAGGTTAGTGCTCCAATGCACTCTGGGATTGCCATCTGCCTGCAAAATCTATTTCAGTAATTTCTAGCAAGCTACACATACTTATTAATATAAGAATCATTTATTAAATTTGTTTGCCTTTTGAACCTGATGATTTTACCCCAGTGCTCCCTTTAGTGCTCCTGTCTATTTTCAGGACTAGATAGGCCCATTCTCCTAACCTGCATGCAAGTCCTTCACAGGCTGGCCTCTTTTCATGTCCCCAAGCATATAGCTCATTCATGCCACACTGAATCACACACACACACACACACTCATACACACCCATTCAGTTTCTCTCTCTCCCCCTCCTCTTTCACACACACACACACACACACATTCTCATACTCAGTTTCTCTCTCTCTCTCTCTCTCTCTCTCTCTCTCTCTCTCTCTCTCTCTCTCATACACACACACACACACACACACACACACACCTCTTCCTAATAATGTGTTCAGTCTTCAGGTCTCAAGAAAGGCAATCCCTCCCAGAATTCTTGCGTGGGTTGGACCCCCCCCCCTTAGGGAGGGGGGTGATATGGTTAGGACCCATACAAATCTTGAACTCTAGAAAGACAGAATTTTAGTCTTAGGGTGTTTGCCCAAGGCTGGAATATTGGGGAAGCTCTTTAATGTAAGGATGGAAAAATCCCCCTCCCACTGGTGTTGGAGGAAGGAAGTCTGTGGTTTGTCTGGGGCCTGGACTAATAAAAACCAAAACAAAACACGGTGGTGCATGCCTGTTATCCCCAGGAGTCTGAGATGATGATCATGAGTTCAAAGCCATCCTGGATCACACAAGGAGGATGCACAAGACCTTGTTTCAAAATCAAACAAAGCCAAACCAATACAAGATTGCTGAGGTGCTGGACAGTTCACATCAACCTGACACAAGCCAAAGTGATCTGAGAGGAGAGAACCTCGACCGAGAAAGTGCCTCCATAATATGGCACTGTAGACAAGCCTGTAGGGCATTTCCTTAAAGAGTGATTGATGGGGTGGGGGCAGCCGTTGTGTATGTGTTATCTCTAGGCTGGTGGTCCTGGTTCTGTTAGAGAGTAGGCTGATTGAGCCACGGAGAGCAAGCCAGTAAGCAACACCCCTCAATAGCCTTTGCATCCGCTCCTGCCTCCAGGTTCCTGCTCTGTCTGCGACCCATTCTGACTTTCTCCAATGATGGACTACAAAGTGGAAGTGGAAGCTGCACAGACCCTTTCCTCCCCAGCTTGTTTTTAGTCATGGTGTTTCATCACGGCAATAGTAACCATAGCTAGGACAGTCTGTTGTTACTTTGGAAACTACAGCTCCCAGACTCCTCCTGGATTACAAATACCTGCGCACGCGGGCGTGCTCAGGTGCAGGTCATTTCTCCCAGATAACCCTGCGCTTCCTGTTAAAAAGCGAGCTTCCACGAGGTCTCGCTCTCTCTTGCCCTTTACCCTTGTGTATCTTGCACACCCATCCCTTATCGTGTCCCCCTCCCCCCATTAAAGTGCACCCACGTGGGAGCCGCGTGTCTTGTCTCCTTTTGCGCGTGTCTCGTCTATCCTGTGTTCGTCTACACACCCCACCCGCCGTTTTTAAAAGAATAATACAGTCCCCATACAAATAATACAAATAATAATACAAATCAAACACACTATGCCTTGCATGAATGTGAGGTACACTTCTCATGGGGGGGCATGAAAGGAGAGAGAAAGAAGAGAGAGGGGATGGGAAGAGAGAGGGAAAGAGAGAGTCAGTCCTGAAGTGAAGAAATAAAAAGCTGGTTTCAAAGTCCTAAATCTCTGTGGTCTGTCATAGGCAAATGTAAAACTCAATTGTTCATTCTGATACTGAGCAAAATAAATAATGCCCACTGCAGATGAGCTTAAGAAGTCAGGACCCAGGCACACCAGGTGGTTCAGGCTCTAATTCCATAGGATGGCAAGGTCAAGACCTGCCTGGGCTACAAGGTGAGCTCAGGGCAATTCATGTAACTTATCAATCAAAACTATGTCTCAAAATAAGTAACAGATTTGTTTTGTGCTGCTGTTTAGAGGGTTGGATGTGTAGTTTAATGGCCCTAATTCAAATATCCAGAACCACACCCACATGAGAAAACAATTTTTGAAAAGATAAAGGAAATTACAAACCAAATTAGAAAATGAATCTCATGAGATTTATAAGTTTGTAGACCTATAGATGGGAGCATTAGCCCTGAAAGTCCTTGAGATAACAGGAAAACCCCAGAAAAAGGAGCATAAAGTGTCCCCGCTGCCTGAGGCTGTAGCTAAGTGACAGAGCATCTTCTCAGAGCCTGGGTTGGATCTCCAGTCCTGGGAGACTGTGGCAGCCATAGTCAGAATGTAGAGGAGAGCATAGACAGGTCGGAAAAGCTACATATGCTCAGGAAAATTCAGTATTTACACTTAAAAACTTCAATGATTGGATGGTTTCCCATTAAGACAGTAGACATATGTTAGAAGAGCACATCACGTGTATGTCCAGTACCAAATGGTATACAAGTATGCATGTATGTATGTATGTATGCATGCATGCATGTGTTTGTGTGTATGTAATAACAATCAATGAAAGAAGAGGCCATGGATTTTAAGGAGAGTGAGGAGGGATATATGGAAGGGTTTAGAGGGAGGAAGGGAAGGAGGAAATGTTGAAGTTGTATTATAATCTCAAGACATTTTTAAGGTATAAAAATGACATAAAAATGAAATAATCCACAGAAAAGAAAAAGAAAGAAAGTAATAATTTCACTTATGGGTTCTGTGTCAGAAGTCCTAAACAAGAGCTGGGGAGACAACTTTGTTGGGTAAGAGATGCACTGCCTTTGCAAAGGACCCAGGTTCGATTCCCAGCATCAACATGGCAGCTCACAACCATGTGAGGATCCAACGCACTCTACTGGCCTTCCCTGGGTATCACACATACATGGTACACAGAAATACATGCTCACAGACACATTCATACACATAGAATAAAATAAAATTAAAATAAATATTAAATCTTAAATAAAAACATTAGCAAACAGAACCTCAGCAACTTACAGCACCAACAGATCATGAGAGAAAAATCGAAAACTCACAGCAAATGTTAAACAGTCCTTGGAATTCAGCGTCCAAAGATAAACAAATACTCCTGCAACATGAATAAAACAACGGCTGATGTTCAGCTCCCAAACCATCAGCAACATACGTGCTAGAAATCCTCAGGCTCAGAACCAGAGGAATGCCTCCTTTCATCCCTCCCTCGGCCCCTCCCTCCCTTCTCTCCCACCCCCCCACTCTCCATGTGTCCTGCATAGCCCAGGCTGGAACTGAGAACTCTCTTGCTATGGCCTTTTGAGGGTTTGACTTTCAAGCCCATGTCACCAAACAGAGGCTTTCAGCTTTTCAAATGAAGACTGCTTTAGATTGGAGGGGGCTAGAGTGTGAAATGCGCTTGTTTCAGAATTCTGAGGGGCAGAGTTCAGGTACATGTGCACACTGCACGCATGTAAGTTTTTCATGCCCGTAGGTGCGAGACGAAGTCCAAATTCCACAGTGACAGGCGGCTTGTGACAAACATGGGGCTAACTGTGGGGCAGCTTCACTTTCCATTGCAAAGTCAAGATAACTGGAATTTTAAATAATTGAATGCATGCGGACAGACTTCCTCTTCACCCCCAGCTGTGATGATCCCAAACTGCAGAGGAAAATGCTCAACAGTGGGGGAGACAGGAAGCTGCATGAGCTGTTACAGGGCCCATGGAGGGGAAAGGGCACTTTGCATGATGGACTCTGTCCCTCACCACCCTGGATTCCATTCTGCCTGGAGTTCTGAGAGATAACAGCAAGTTCACGTACAGGATGTCTCCTGGAACATGCTGTTTTGCTGAGACCTCAAAGGTGTCAGTTCGACGAGATGGATGACTTCTTTTTGGCTGTTTCTTTCCTAAGTCAGCTCCAGGAAACCACTCTCAGAGGCAGAGGGCCTATGAGGCTGCCTGCTGAGGACCACAAGGCTGGAGAAGGTAAGCCTGCTACTCAAGGATAGATACGTTGCTGTTTTGATACCAGTGACTGGTTAGGCTCCATGCTAGGCATTACTCTAACTATTCTGCGTGACTCATCAAAATTTCCTAAGACTTTGATGTAGCAGAGAGCATTAGATCTTTATTTAACAGTTGAAGAAATTAAGGCCCAGAGTGATTAAATGACGTAAAGTCACCCAGCTAAGAGAATGACGGCTAGGGCTTCAACCAGACAGACACTCCAGAGTCTCGGCTGGAACCACTACACTGTATCTTTTTTATTGAAGACACACTAGACTTGTCTTAGTTACTTTTTTTATTGCTGTGATGAGATGTCATGACCCAGGCAACATATTGAAGAAAGAGTTTATTTGGGGCTCACAGTTCCAGAGGGTTGGAGTCCATGACCATGGCAGGGAGCATGGCAATAGGAAGGCAGGCATGGTGCTGGGGCAGCAGCTGAGAGCTTACGCCTTGATCCACAAGCATAAGACGGAAAGAGCAAACCGGGAACTGTGAGCTTGAAACCTCAAAGCCTGCTTCCAGTGACACCTCCTCCAACCTCCCAATCCTCCCCAAACTATTCCACCAACCAAGGGTCAAGCAGTCAAACATATGAGCCTATGGAGACTGTTCTTAGTCAAACCACCAGAAGAATCAGATTCCAATAGTTAGACAAAGAGCTGTCAAACTTATAAAGATATTTTTTTTAACTTTACAGCTCAGTGCATTCCACGAGGTAAGTATGTTATAACGGAAAGACATGTTTTAAAAGACTTTGCTTTGTATATTTTATTCATTTTTGCTTTGGTTTTATTCTTTTCATTTTTAGTTTTCTTTTTTGGAGAAGCTGATGATTTGAGCCATTAAAAGATTATTTTGACATGATGCATGCTAGATAAGAGTGAGTTAGGGTGATAGTCCTCTCTTTTTTTCCTTATATCTCTTCCTCTTACGTTTAATGTTTATTACATATTTTTAGTAGTTCCATATATTAATTACAAGCACGTGGCGCACATCCAGGCCTCACCAGCACCTCTTCCTCCAGACTTTATCCTCCATCTATCACCAATTGAGAAAATGCTTTACAGTCGGACCTCACAAAGGCATTTTCTCACTTGAGGCTCCCTCCTCTCTGATGAGTCTAGTTTGTGTCAAGTTGCTATAAACCCATCTAGAACAGGAACCAAACGGAAAAGCCGGGAGATGTTTGAAAGTACAGCCCATTCAGGGGATAGTAGGACTTGACCCAGCATCAGAAGTAGCCAAGTGTTAGCTTAAAAGCGTTTGTTTATTTATTTATGGAGTGTATATTTTGTGGAGTGCCACCAGCCTTGGCCAGTTGGTTTGTGTGAGTCCTTCTCAGTCCAGTAAGAACAGAGCCTGCAACTTTGGCCTCTTGAGCAAGATGCATGAATTCGAATAAGCTGGCCTAACCAGTTGTGCCCCAGGGTCTCCTCACCTGAGTGAGAACAGCTGCTGGGAAGCTAGTCACATTCCAGACAGGTGACATGTCCTGGTTACGAGACTCTCTCCTTTTCTGGAGGTAGCGAGAGCTATTTTCTTTTCAGCTGCCGCCTCCTTCCTGACCTTCTCATCCTCCCCATCCATCTGTCTGAGCTTCACTGCTTCCTTAGGTACCAAGAGGGGAGTTTGTCTGGAGACCCTCTGGGAGCTGATGTCAGATGCTCCGAGGATGTTCAGTTAGGTTTGCAGTGGGCTGGAAAAGGGGAGATTAAAGGAATAAAACATGCCGTGCCCACTTTTGGGGAGTACTGGCCAGCTGGGATTCAGTTCTGTCATCTAGGGTGACCAAGGGGTTGGCTGATAAATGATACCAATTTTCTGTAACACACGGGCTTTTAATCTTCCCTACAGCCTGGGGGGAAAATGTTAGACATGATGGCTGGAGCGGTTCTTATGGTGTCACTGGGGGCCCAGATGCAGTTTTAGATTCCACGGACAGTAAACCTAGCAGTGGGGAAGAAAACAGGACCCGTGTCAGTCAGGGCGTGTTTTTCGGAGGGTGGATCATGGACCTAGGCAATGAGAACGCTTTTTATTCAGTTGAAACAAAGAAAGTGATGTTGGAGAATGCAGCAGCCAGGAACCCAGGAAAGCAGACGCTGCAGAGTCTCCCTGGGGCCTATCAGAAACGGGAGCTGCCTCTGTCGCCCCCTCTTTGGAGTCTGTGGCTCCTCCACCCCTACCCCTTCCTCCTTCTTTTCCTTCCTTCCTTCCTTCCTTCCTTCCTTCCTTCCTTCCTTCCTTCCTTCCTTCCTCTTCCTCTTCTTCCTCTTCTTCTTTTCTGTTTTGTTTGTTTGAATAATTTTTTAAAAAGAATTTGAAGCAAGGTTTTGCTTTTATAGGTCTGGGAGATTGATTGGGTTGTGTAACCAGGTTGGCCTCAAACTTGTGACTCCAGCTTCCGCAGAGCTGGAATCACAGGTATGAACCACCATACCTGACTTCATTTTTTTCTTCTTCTTCTTCCTTCTCTCCCAAGTCCATCTTTTTCTGCTTCTCCTGTCCTTGACAAGTCAAGTTCCAGGCTCTGTTGAAATAGGAGCGGCGGGGCTGCGTCCCCGGCACCCGGCCGCCCGCATGGCTAGTTTATACCCAGAAATAATTACACGGAAACTGTATTCTTTTAAACACTGCCTGGCTAGGTCCAGTTTCTTATTGGCTAGCTCTTACATATTGTTCTAACCCATTTCTAATATTCTGTGTAGCCCACGAGCTGGCTTACCAGGGAGGATCTTAACCTGCGTCTGTCTGGAGCGGGAGAATCATGGCGACTCCTCACACAGCTTCTTTTTCCCAGCATTCTCCTCTGTCTACTCCGCCTACCTAATTTTCTATCCAATAAAATGGGCCAAGGCAGTTTCTTTATTAATAAGAAATCACTCCCACATCATTTCCCCTTTTTCTGTTTAAACAAAAAAGAAAGGCTTTAACTTTAACATAGTAAAATTACATATAACAAAACAGTTATCAAGTAAGAATTACAGTTACAATATTTATATCTATTTTATCTCTTATCATAACTAAGGAAAACTATAACTAACCATTCTTCAACTCCATCAAAGACTCCAGAAGGATATAATATTACCTATCAAACAAGAAATAAGAAAACTCTAGAAATGACAGAGACATCTCGCTGCCTGGACAGTCACCCAAAGTTCCTCTGTACCGTTGGGGCATCCATCTTCGGCCTACAGGCCCATAGTATCCAGCAGACATTCTCATCAAGCAAGAAATTCCAAAGACAGTTCAGTCACTTTTTGCTGTGTCCTGCAGAATGTCTCACAGACTCTTTCATGAAGCAGGAACCCCAAAAGGTCATCTCACCTTTAGGCAAGTTCAGCAGTCCTCTCTCTGCGGGTTCTCTGTGTCCAGTTTATGCAACAGTCCAGGCAAGAGCAGTTTCTTGCCCAAATGGCTATCAAACTCCATAAGGATTCTCTTCGATGCCCATCTTCCTCTTGAAATAGATTGGTGCTGCCAGGAGCAAATGTGTCTCATTGTCATGAAAAACCCTAAGTTATTAAAATATCTTAAATGCCATATTCTGCAGCCTTTGAAAGATATGAAGAATGCCTATCTAACTAAAATATCTCTCTATATATCTAGAAAATCTAACTAACATGACTACAAGCTTAAGTATTAGCGATGATTATCCATTAACAACCTATATTTCCTAATTATACATTACATTTTTAAATGAACTACACAATCACAATACCTTAATCAAGATCAAAAATACATATACATATAACAAAATTGACCATAAAATCCATACCAATGCAAATTATTCATATCTATATCATATCCCCCTTTAAATGTAAAAGAACATTTATAAACAATATTTGGGAACATGGGCGTAGTTTTTTCTCTACAAACTGCTTCCTGCTGAATAGGGGCGTCGTTAATTAGGTTGTTCATGATATAACCTGTATGCTAGTTTCATCTCAGTTGGCAATTGAGCGAAGCAATTTTTTGAGGGTATTCACAGCAACCTTTCAGGAGGGCGTGGTCTATCATACCAAATCGGAATAGATGCAATCCACAGGGTCTCATCCTCTGCAAAAACAAAAGAAGACCCTCTCCAAAGCATCATATCCTTAGACCCAAATTCTGAAATCATAATACCCTTATATCCATTTTGGTTTAGATTGGCAGCCCATGTAATGAAATGTCTCTCTGTACTTAGCTCCTTCACAGTCAAAAATTTTAAAGAAAACACAATGTACATAATCCAGACTCTCTGTGAATTTTCCATTTTTACGTGGCTTATATTTCTTTATTTCTTTTAATCTATAACTCTCTGTACTTCTGTACTCTGTCTCTTTAAAGACTTTACCCTTTTTCTTTTTAAGACATTAACTTTATTCTTTATATTCTTTTTCTTCTCTTTCCCAAGCCTACGTACATTTATCCAACAGTGTCTGAATCTGTTTTATTGTGAATCTGTAATTTCTTTACTATACAGGAGCATTTCTTAAAATGTTAAGCATTTCTTAAAAACTTAAGTTGCACCATTTACAGGTAATACGGTACTGCCTGTGTCCTGCCCAGTCTAAACCTTAACTGCACGGTTTTAAGGTAATTACGGTAGTTCCTGCCTGAGATCAGCACAGTTCAGCATGGAGCAGCCGCTCCTGCCTCAGAGTCATTTGGTGCCCCTGAACCATTCACAGTTTCAGGCACACAGCAAGTCCACATTGGAGCCGCACTCAGCAGTTTAACTCTGAGACTGAGTGTGCAGCACAGAAACTCTTTTCATCCAAGTTACAGCCAAATCTGACATGCAGAGCACTGCGCAGTCTGAAAATGCGTCTCTGTATAGCGGCAGGAATCCGCCATGCTCTTCCGCCTGCCTAAGCCTGATTCTGCCTTCTGCCCAGGTGCAGGCGGGGAGCTCTGAGCCATCTGCACGGTCTCAGAGCACTCTCCTCCGATCCCAAGCGGAACACAAACATCCAGTCCCATAAAAGCCT